TATTTTTCCAACAGAAATAGATAGTGTCAAAGTGCAAAATTAAAACTCTCATAACTTCGAAATTTTTATAGGTAGAATTTTTTATTTATTAATTATTATTACTTTTTATTCACTGTGTATAATAAAAAAAACGGACTATACATACATTTTCGATACAAATAATTAATAGAATAACAAAAGTTTAAAATTTTGTCCTCTTAAACACTTATTAATCAGAGCTTGAGTTGTTCATGCAGACATAAAAATCCGATTTCCGCTAAAATATGTAAATTATTACCCATGTCGAACAGATTTCTTACGTGGGTCTGGATTGCATACCGATACAACTTAAGAATAATAGAATAGAATGAATATATAAATGATAAGTGTATTGATTTTCTACCAAGGGGTTGAAAACCCTAACAGTTTAATGTGCGTTTTTACGAACATAAAATTTTCTATACTTATTTCAAGTTTTTATCATTTTATGCTCGAACAAGCTCCATTAAACTAAACGAAATAAATCACAAACATGTTTTTAACCATCAAAAGCTTCAAACCATAAATATTGTTGTTTGCGGTGAGACTTATTCAGATATAAAAAGTACGAGGGGAGCAAGTGCCCAAAACAGTCACTCAGCCTTTAGGATTTAACGACTCATGAAAAGGCGTCTACGTAATTTTATAACGCTGCTTTATCGTTCAAAAATTTTAATTAGATTTTCTCACAGTAGAAAAGTTGCACCTCGCCGAAAATAATAAATAAAAAAGTAGAGCAAACATTCAACTACTATAATTCCGGATTTATATAAATTTGCCGTGATTAGCAGCAATACGTTTCAAATTAAACTGATAATCCAGTAGTGGAAGTGTAATTAGTAGGTTGAAATAGGTCAACTTTGAGATCCTTGCAATTCTCACCTCTTGTAGTTATTTTGTTTTAGTTTGAAATAGAGTCGTTAAGATAACAAATAAAAATCGATACAAAAATTTGAATTTTTGAAGCATTAAATTGCAAATAGCAAGCTTATTATTCATTTAGGCCAAAGCAATAAAATTATTTCATTGTTAGAAAAATTCTCCAGAATTGTCGAAAACAGTTTTTCGATTAAAAGAAAGAAAGCAATACATACAGTGACATTTTTTTATTAGTATACATAGCCCTATGTATACTTTTTAAAAAACCGGGTCAACTTCAATGGAACTATGACTATTACGATATACAGGGTGTTTCACACAACTTTACGAGGCTTGCGCCTAATGTACGCACCCAAATATACAAAAGTCACAGAACACTGGATACAAAAAATACAAATTTAATTATTTAATTTTTGGAAACCCATGACAGTAGTTGTGAAACTAATCACTGTTTCATTAATAGTCATAAACTGCAGTTTTTCAGAAACAATTATCATTTATTCTATCAAGAGACGGCATGAATATGATTGCAGTTTATCTATCTTAATCACTAACTAACTAAAAACGTTGTAATTTTTTAAAGGGTGAACAAACTAGAGAAGATTATCCAATTTTTCAAAATTTGTAATCGAGTTCGTATGGGAATATGTATTATTGATTGCATCTTACAGGCGCAGGCCTCGTAAAATTACGTGAAACACCCTGTAGTTAGTCTAGGCATAGGCAACCAATATTACAAAGGCTTTAATATCGTTAAATAAAAGACAAACTTTTAAAAATAACAAAGTAAATGTAATTAAATATTAATTAAAAAAAAAAAATAAAACCCATCAAAACATGAAAAATATTTAATAATTAAAGCAAGTGTTCAAAATGCTTTCCTTGTAGTTCCAAAGAATAAACCAAGCGATTTTGAATACCCCGCCAGTGCATATTCCTGATAAATTCAGGATCTTTATTATTACATTCTGTACGTGTACGTTCTTTCAGCTCTTCTAAATTTTGCTTTAGAACATTAATATAAATTTTTGTTTTTAAATACCCCCAAAGAAAAAAAATGTTAAGTGCCAAGTGTGGCGATTGTGGGGGCCATGCGATGCGGCCAGATCCCCCGCTCCACTTTGGTGTACATAGCACACAAATGGCATTAACTTTTTAAAGCTACGCTTTAAATTTCAAGACTGACACTTGACAAACTTGACACAAAATTTTCGTTTTGAATATTTTAATATCTAGTACCCTCTAAAAGCTTGAAATGTTGGTCGCCTACCCTATGAAATTGACCAAGTTTTTTTTTTAATTATACATAGGGTTATGTATACTAATAAAAAAAATGTCCCTGTATGTGATCCAGCTCCGGGTTGATTCCGGGGCTGGACCTTGACTAGCTTTTGGCGCGATCTCTCGGGTCTGGTATGGCCTACTGCGAGCAAACAACCAATCGATAACTTGAGCAGCTGCTGCCGTTTGAGGTCGAACAATTCGCTGCATCGTTAGTTTAAAAAACCTCAAAAACTAAGCCAAAGTTTTTATTGTGAGACAAAGGAAATTCACCAGTGATATACCAGAGACAAATGATTATAATGGGGATGAAATA